TCACTAATAACGTTACACTAACATTTTGAAATGTTATTAATGACACGTTACAAATAAAATGTTTTTTAAACGTTGCAAAACGTTTAATATGTAACGTTACAAACTGAATGTCGCTTGAACGTCGCGCAATGTTTTATTTGAATCGTTCCAAATATTCGTTTTAATGACCGAAATGTAATGTTCCTGCGATGTTCCGTAGACATTAGAAATAAAAACGTTTTATCAAAACTTCTATGAAACATTGCATAAACATTTATTATGAAACATTATAAATACGATGTATTCTTCTCGAATGTAACGTCGCTTGAAGGTTTTATGTTTATTGGATTCATCCTGTCCGTTCTAACTTACTTAGACCTTAGAAGGTGTTTTGAATATCTCTGGATAATCTTAATTTTAACAGCTATTGACATATTATACTAGCTAAGTATTGTATTCGATCATGTATTCGTTAGTAAAATTCGATAATCGAGAGTGTCTCATAACTCTTTCGAAGAAGGTTAAAATCATTCAAGGAAGTACTTGTTTTGTTAAAACAAAGGGATCGTCATACCAAGACTATTTATTAAGCACCAATGGTAAGTTAATTTCAATAATGCTTAAATATAACCTCTAAGATATAAATTTTTAGAACGTATAGTTTGGAGACAGATGACTCCAAACTATACTTTGTATTTATTTATATTTATTATTATTTTCATTACACTACTTTATACACATTTGCTAAATGTTAAATAGTTTCTGTTAATTTTATTAGATTCACATGAAGCTTTGCAAATGAAGATGGACGATATTAACAATATAAATAATATAGAAAATTCATCGAAATCATTACCATCATTTGATCAAATTTCAACTTCCAATTTTATAAAAGGGACTGGTGTTTCGACACCCATTTCGAAAGTACCACCATCGGTAGAGAATCAAATTGACAAGTATTTGTCTACAATTCGTCAAAATTCGTCAATATCTCATATATCCGATTCTCATATATCCGATGAGAGTAGTACGCCTAGTGGTGCAACTGAAATTATGCAAGTTATCGGAGATGATTGGCTAAAAACCTCAAGTGTAGATTCGAATATCCTCAAAAATAATATTTCATTTAACGCGGAGGCTGTACAAGTTACCAAAATTTCTGATAAAACAATCGAAAATGAACAAGAATCTCGTGCTAATATTGCAAATTCATCGCAAAAGAATATTGAATTTAGCATTATTGACGAAACTGTCTCAAAAGAAATTAATAATACTACTGATAATGGACACAAAGATAAGAGTTTGGATTATATACCGAGCAGTGAAATCACTACAATAAATGAAACAAATTCAAATGTAGTAAATTCAAGTGATAATTTGAATTTTGTCATTAATAATGATGCACCTGCAGTTGATATTCGTGATATTTATGTACCTGTTTCAAAAAATGAGAATGCAGGTTATTCACTCAAACAATATTTTTGTCCGTATTGCAAAAAACTCCAAAAAAAGTTTGCTCGGCATTTGGAATTGAAACATAAAAACATACCAGATGTTCAAAAATTTATACATTTTCCAAAAGGCAATCCAGAACGACGTTAAATTATTGAAAAAATTCGAAAATATGGAAATTACCTTCATAATACTGATGCTGATTTAAATACAGGATTTCTTATAGCTTGTCGACGTCCTCAGGCAAAATTTCAAAATACTGCCGAAGACTATGTGTGTCGCAGTCATTGCAAAGGATTTTTTTCTAAAAGAACTTTGAGGATACATCACAAAACATGTAATCCAGCTTACGAGAAAGATCGAAAAGATCAACTTATGAAAGGAAAACAATTAATGGGATATGTACAATGTCGTGCTAATGATGTGATGCGTCGAAAAATTGTTCCATCATTCCAAGATGACAATGTTTCAAGATCAATTAAATACGATGAACTTTTGATTTTATTTGGAAATAAATTATGCGACACATACACACTTTCTCATCAATATGATATGATTAGAAATTATCTACGTCTTCTTGGTCGCTTTAAATTAACAATCAAAGGAATTAACAGAGAAATATCTGATTTTGCGTCTATTTTTTATCCGAGATACTACGATGACGTTATAAAAGCTGTTAAAATATGTGCAAATTATGATACAGAGTCACAAATTTTTAAAATACCTTATAATGCAACTAGTCTGGGTACAATGTTGAAAAAATGTGCTCGTATACAAGCTGCAGAATGTATTAAGCGAAATGACTTTGATGGAAAAAAAGCTGTTGATGATTTCATGGTACTATTTCATGATGATTATCCAGTGACAATTAATAAAATAATTACAGAAGATCGCGCAAATAAACGGCGAAATAAACAAATTATCCTTCCATCAAAATCAGACATCCAAAAATTGTATAATTATACAAAAAATATATGTGAAAAAGCCATGGAAATTCTTCAGAAAGAATTTAATCTTAATGCATGGAAACAATTGACACAAGGCAGTCTTATTCTTGTTCAGATGTTTAATCGACGAAGAGCCGGTGAAATTGAGAGACTTTTTATTGAAAACTACAAAAATCAAGAAACGATTGATAAAATTTTCAATCCTGATATATTTAGCAATATATCAGAAGAATCTTAAAGACAAGCCAAGCAATTTGTACGAA